AAGTAGTAGAGTTTTGACAGCAGGCGGTCCAAAACCAGCCCGGCCAAACTACGAGCTTCATTCACAACCCATAGACCACGAGCCGGTTCAGGTCAAACTGGTCTAGAGCGAGCACATTTTTTTAAGGCAATTCATAGACCACGAGCCGGTTCAGGTCAAACTGGTCTAGAGCGAGCACATTTTTTTAAGGCAATTCGGCTCAGGTCAAACTGGTCTAGAGCGATCACATTTTTGTAAGGCAATTCTTTTGCTTGTTAACTAGAGAGAATCTCGTGCGATGCACAGGGGATTTCGTAATGTAAAATATTTTTGCAAAATTTTTATTTTAACAATGTATTAGTCATTTGATCTGTCTATATTAATATAAATAACATTTTAACATAAACAAAAAAATAACATTTTAACGTATATATTTATTTTTTAATACAACAAAATAAGAATTTTAAATATTTTGATTCATCATAATACTCAAATATTACTTTATTTGAAAATTTATTGTCGTATAATGTCAATATCATTTATACCATCTATAGAAGTAATATTTCTTTTTTATATAATAGTAAATATTTAATGTATATTAATATTATTTATTGATATGATTAATTTAAAAATATATAAGTATATCTAGTGTTTGTTAGGAATGTGATAAATTTTGATATTTTAGGTATAAATATATGATATATATGTACAAATACATGATATAATATCTTGGGATACAAAAGAAAATTTTTTATGTGCTTTACTGCCTTAATTAATCATCCCAATTACCTAAATTGTATCTATAAAACATCTATATCTATATCTATCTATCTATACTTATATTAAAAGCCATACTATTTACCAAAAATAGTAGCAAGAAAAGTCAACTCACATTTAATGCATACTTTATTTGGAAATTTTTTACTATATGCATTAATTGTTTGCATATACACATTTCCTATTCAAATATGATCAAACAGATTCTTTCCTTAAATAATTTTATTAACTTTTGCAATAATTTTACTTATATATATTATAATTCATATTTGAAGATTGTATTTTTTAATTTTTATTTGAGTATATAAAAAACAAATATATTTTTTTAAATTAATCTATACTTATATTAAAAGTCATACTATTTACCAAAAATAGTAGCAAGAAAAGTCAACTCACATTTAATGCATACTTTATTTAGAATTTTTTTACTATGTGCATTAATTGCTTGCATATATACATTTCCTATTCAAATATGATCAAAAAGATTCTTTCCTTAAATAATTTTATTAACTTCTGCAATGATTTTACTGATATATACTCTCTCCTATTTTTTTTTAATGTCATTCTAGCTTTATCAACTATTAACTAAATAAATGTCGTTTTGGATCTTTTGTACATATTTTTTCATTATTACCCTCATTTAGCTAATAAATACATTATGTCTTTTCATATTCTCTCTTCACTTTTTCTCAAAACATTCATCTCTATCTTCATTAAATAAGGTTATTATTGACAAACAAAAATATTCTTAATTAATGTGCAACTTCTCAAAACGACATTATTAAAAATAGGAGGTAATATTATAATTCATATTTGTCGATAGTATTTTTTAATTTTTATTTGAGTATATAAAAAACAAATATTTTTTAAAATTAATATTTTAATTATCATTTAAGAGATAATGATCACATCATTAAATGATATTACTGATGGCTAGATAATAAATTGAAATACATTAATTATTCTTTAAATTTTTGGCATGTTATTTATTTGTATCTATATTTATTATATAAGGTATCCTATTTACCAAATTTAGTAGATTAAAAAGTCAACGTAATTAATGCATTGCTATTTCTTAATTATTTTATTTATTTGTCTTATATCCCATAAAATCAGTTTAAGAAAAAAAAATCCCATAACATCTGACAAGTAAAAAAAAAGACGTAAAATCTTTACTAAAATAAAAAGATTTTATTTATTTGTCTTATTACATATTAACATTGATTTTGTCAAAATAAATCTCATAAAATCAGTGAAGTCAAAATTTGTACGTAAAGTCTATCTATAAAAAAAAGTCAAATTCAAATTTTCTTATCTAATTACTTCTTTTTCTTATCTAATTCCTTCTTTTCCTTATCTAATTTTTTTTATTATCTAATTGTATGAAAATCTGTTCTGATTTTGTTCAATCCGCTAATTGTATTTGTATTATATTCCATAAAATCGGTTTAAAAAAAAAATCTCATAATATCCGATAAGTAAAAAAACAAAGTACGTAAAATCTTTACTAAAATAAAAAGGCTTTATTTATTATCTAATTTATTATCTAATTGTATGGAAATCTGTTCTGATTTTATGGTACGTACTACAAATTGTGCACCCGTGTTCAGGAGCTACTTAACGGGCAAGCTTTGTGGAAATGACTCATTTAGTGCTTATGTCTCGTGCATACGGTATGCATTTTTATTACACATACTAGAAAGTTGTGCACCCGTGCATCGCACGGGCTCTGTATTAATAAATGACCTTAAAATTGTGCACCCCGTGCATCACCCGTGTTCACATTTTGGCCTATTACAGGTCACGTACTATATATATTCCGTACATTTTTTTTATTCATTTTTATAATTATAAGAATGGATAAATGACCTTCAAAATTGTGCACCCCGTGCATCGCACGGGCTCTGTACTAGTACTTATATTAAAAGCAATACTATTTACCAAAAATAGTAGCAAAAAAGTCAACTAACATTTAATGCATACTTTATTTAGAAAATTTTTACAATATGCATTAATTGCTTGTATATATACATTTCCTATTCAAATATGATCAAAAAGATTTCTTCCTTAAATAATTTTATTAACTTCTGCAATGATTTATTGATATATATTATAATTCATATTTGTCGGTAGTATTTTTTAATTTTTATTTGAGTATATAAAAAACAAATATTTTTTTTAAATTATTATTTTATTTATCATTTAGGAGATAATGAGAACATCATTAAATGATATTACTGATGGATAGATAATAAATTAAAATACATTAATTATTCTTTAAAATTTTGGCATGTTATTTATTTGTATCTATCTATACTTATATTAAAAGCCATACTATTTACCAAAAATAGTAGCAAAAAAAGTCAACTCACATTTAATGCATACTTTATTTAGAATTTTTTTTACTATGTGAATTAATTGCTTGCATATATACATTTCCTATTCAAATATGATCAAAAAGATTCTTTTCTTAAATAATTTTATTAACTTCTGCAATGATTTTGCTGATATATATTATAATTCATATTTGTCGATAGTAATTTTTAATTTTTATTTGAGTATATAAAAAATAAATATTTTTTTTAAATGATATTACTGATGGCTAGGTAATAAATTAAAATACATTAATTATTCTTTAAAATTTTGGCATGTTATTTATTTGTATCTATACTTATTATATAAGGTATCCTATTTACCAAATTTAGTAGATTGAAAAGGCAATGTAATTAATGCATTGCTATTTCTATCCAGAATTTTATTTAATTATTTTATTTATTTGTCTTATATCCCATAAAATCAGTTTAAGAAAATAAATACCATAACATCTCACAAGTAAAAAAAAAAGAAGTAAAATCTTTACTAAAATAAAAAGACTTTATTTATTTGTCTTATTCCATATTAATATCGATTTTGTCAAATAAATCCCATAAAATCAGTGAAGTCAAAATTTGTACGTAAAGTCTATCTATCCAAAAAAAAGTCAGATTCAAAATTCCTTATCTAATTCCTTCTTTTTCTTATCTAATTTCTTCTTTTTCTTATCTAATTCCTATTTATTATCTAATTGTATGAAAATTTGTTCTGATCAATCCTCTAATTGTATTTGTATTATATTCCATAAAATCGGTTTAACAAAAAAAAATCTCATAACATCCGATAAGTAAAAAACAAAGTACGTGAAATCTTTACTAAAATAAAAAAAATTTATTTCTTATCTAATTTATTATCTAATTGTATGGAAATTTGTTCTGATTTTATGGTACGTACTACAAATTGTGCACCCGTGTTCAGGAGCTACTTAACGGGCAAGCTCTGTGGAAATGACTCATTTAGTGCTTTTGTCCCGTGCATACGGTATGTATTTTTATTACACATACTAGAAAATTGTGCACCTTGTGCATCACACAGACTCTGTACTAATAAATGACCTTAAAATTGTGTACCCCGTGCATCACCCGTGTTCACATTTTGGCTTATTACAGGTCACGTACTATATATATCCCGTACATTTTTTTTTATTCATTTATATAATTATAAGAATGGATAAATGACCTTAAAATTGTGCACCCCGTGCATCGCACGGGCTCTGTACTAGTACTACTTTAAAAGAAGGAGTGTTTTTGTAAAAATTCATAATGCCTAAAAAACCCTTACTTTGACATAAATTTAATGACAAATTAATAATATACTAATACACATCATATTTTATTTATATTTTTAATTAAAAAATGAACTACCTAAAAACCCTTACTTTCACATGTTTTTAATGACAAATTGGTAATATACTAATGTCACATATCTTATATCCTCCCTATATATATTTAAAAAAAATAACTTTTCTGAATTCAACATAAGCAAATCAATGAAAATAATATATTTTTAAAAATTTTATGAACAAAAGTTGACTCGACAATATTATTAATGAATTTATGAATTAAAAATATTTAATTAAAATATTAATCAAAAAATTGTAATTATATATAATATAATATAGAATATACAAATATTTGATATATAATGAGGCAGATGATCGAAAAAATTCTGTACTTTATATTATGTCCTTTTTGACAAATCTACAGTTAAGAACATGTGAAAGAACAAGATAAAAGTTTTAAAAAGATATTAAATATAAGAAATAATATGAATAATAGCTAAGTTGTGACACATACTAATAAATATAAAACAAACTAATAAACAAAAATAATATAATTAATATAACTAAATATAAACCTTCTAAAAATTTACTTATCGATGTAATCGAACTGAGTTGCTAAACGCTTGTTAGTTTTTTGTTCTTATTACTTTTATGTGTAAATTTGAGGTGATAGACAATAGTTATTTGTACATTTATACATGTAGATTAGAAAAAAAAAATCTTTATTATTCTAATTTTAAATATTTTTTTATTTACTATATTAGTTTTTTTAATATAATATATAAGTATCATATTGAACAGATAAAACACGAAATATTTTAATTATATAATATTTAATATGTAATAAATGTAACTCAATTGGTAAATTAATAGGTAATTTTGGGATAAAATAATGAGTAATTTGTGAAAAAAAAAATTATAGGAACTAAAAAGTTCACGTGTTTAATATATTTTTAATAGAAAAATTGTAAACACAATTATTCAATAAATACTACATAAAAAATATAAGAAATCTTATATCCTCCCTATATATATTAAAAAAAACATAACTTTTTTCAATTCAACATAAGCAAATCAATAAAAATAATATATTTTTAAAACTTTTATAAACAAAAGTTGACTCGACAATATTATTAATGAATTTATGAATTGTAAATATTTAAATAAATTATTAATTAAAAAATTGTAATTAAATATAATATAATATATGATATACAAATATTTGATATATAATGAGGCAGATGATCGAAAAAAATCTATACTTTATATTATGTATTTTTTTGACAAATCTACAGTTAAGAACATGTGAAAGAACAAGATAAAGTTTTTAAAAAATATTAAATATAAGAAATAATATGAAAAATAACTAAGTTGTGACACGTACTAATAAATATAAAATAAACTAATAACCAAAAATAATATAATTAATATAACTAAATATAATCCTTCTAAAAATATACTTATCGATGTAATCGAACTAAGCTGTTAAACGCTTGTTAGTTTTTTTGTTCTTATTAATTTTATGTGTAAATTTGAGGTGATAGACAATAGTTATTTGTACATTTATACATATAGATTAGAAAAAAAAATCTTTATTATTCTAACTTTAAATAACTTTTTTATTTACTATATTAGTTTTCTTAATATAATATATAAGTATCATATTGAAAAGATAAAACAAGAAATATTTTAATTATATAATATTTAATATTTAAGAAATGAAACTCAATTGGTAAATTAATAGGTAATCTTGGGATAAAATAATGAGTGATTTCTAAAAAAAATTATAGGAACTAAAAACTTCACGTTTTTAAAATATTTGTAATAGAAAAGTTGTAAACACAATTACTCAATAAATACTACATAAAAAAATATAAGAAATCTTATATCCTCCCTATATGTAATTAAAAAACACAACTTTTCTCAATTCAGCATAAGCAAATCAATGAAAATAATATATTTTTAAAAATTTTATGAACAAAAGTTGACTCGACAATATTATTAATGAATTTATGAATTGTAAATATTTAATTAAAATATTAATAAAAAATTGTAATTAAATATAATATAATATAGGATATACAAATATTTGATATATAATTAGGCAGATGATCGAAAAAATTCTATTCTTTATATTATGTCTTTTTTGACAAATCTACAGTTAAGAATATGTGAAAGAACAAGATAAAGTTTTAAAAAAATATTAAATATAAAAAATAATATGAATAATAACTAAATTGTGACACGTACTAATAAATATAAAACAAACTAATAAACAAAAATAATATAATTAATATAACTACATATAAACCTTCTAAAAGTATACTTATCGATGTAATCGAACTGAGTTGTTAAACGCTTGTTAGTTTTTTGTTCTTATTAATTTTATGTGTAAATTTGAGGTGATAGACAATAGTTATTGAGGAAATAGTTATTTTCACCCCGTTCTGAAGTCATAATAAGTTTTTCACACCACCCAATAAAAAGCTAAGTTTTTCACCCCAA